GCTCTTCACCTCCTCGATCTTCATCCTGCGCACCTGGAGCCCCAACCCGCCGGAAACCCGCAGCGCGCACGGGGCGCCTGGTTACCACGCGGCCGTTACCAGGCGGTTGGCCCTGGCCCGCCTCGGTAGGTGCTCCACTGGCGGCGGCCGGGACGCCTCCGCTCCCTATTGGCTCCTGGTTGTGTCCATCACGGCTGCCGCTGAGGCCCCGCCCACGCGCTTCCGGCTGTGTCCCGGGCCGGCTTCCCCCGCTGCCCGTGCTTCCGGCCCAAGCAGGGAGTCCGGCTCTGCATCGTTCCTCTTGCCCGTCTTCGCGTTCGAACGCATGCGCTACTGCAAAGCTCCCGCATTGCAGAAGAAGAAACAAACCTTCAGAGCTGAAGCTTCGCCTTGTGCTCGCTGAGTTTTCTGACTCCCACGCCTTTCATCTCTCTGGGGCGGCTGCGCTCAGCATCCTCCCTGGAACTGTCCTCTGCTCCTTGCCTCCACACTCTCCCATTATTTAAACTAATGCCTGTGACGGCGTTGTATGTCTCCAAAACTCTACTACCCTGTAAGGTAATGTAAATCCTAATACAGATAAAGATGAGGCCAGAAGAGGCCGGATGACCTTCCCAAGAACGCACAGCGGGTAGTCAGCAGGTTGGGACTCCCTCCGAGGACTTACAGCCTACAGCCTGTGGCACCCTCATCTCATCCCACGACCTCAGATGAGACGGTCGGTCACAGCAGCTGTGTCCTGTCCAGTTGTGCAACGGTATGAACACTCCCTGTAACGGTGTTACACCTGCTGTGAGCCAGACACCACAACGCACTGGGATGCAGGCATAAAAATACACAACCTCCAGCCTCAGCCAGGAAACCTGCAACATGAGGTGTGCAAGCCCAGAGAAGGGCTGCCCGGGACATCCTGGAAAGTCAAGGAAGGCCCCGCGAGGTGGTAACGCCCGCACCAAACCCTGTCAAAAGCATAACATCCTCAGAAGCAGATGGTGTGTCAATATCTTACAAACGAGTAGGCTCAGGTCCAGAGAGAGGGAGGGACTTGCTTAGAGCTCAGAGGAGCTTGTGTTCAGGCTGAGACAGACCTGAAGGCAACCCAGCTGCAGTATTTCCTGACTCCCATGTCTCCTTGTACGTCTCCATCATAACTTCTGAACATTAGTTTCTAATTATTCACAGGATTATCGGGTCCATGTCAGTCTCTCCCACTAAACTGCAGGCATTATGAAAGTGTAGACCACGTGTTTGTTGTTCATCATTTTAACCCTGGTGCCTGGCACACACCCTGGCTCACAATTAAGCTGCCTTATAAATTCAGTAAGGTTCTAGACCCCCACATACATACCAAGTCATGCAGTTTTGCTGTGTGTATTTTACACTCTGGGTTTTGTGGGACTTGGTAATGGTTTCTGACAGTGAATGGAAATTTGGCCCCCACCACCCCTTCCACCAGAGCTGTTCCTTTATTTTTTATTCTAAAGAACATTTCAAAAATCTGATCTGGCCTAGCTTTCTCCTTTTACAGGTGAGAAAACTGAGGCCCTAAGAGGAGATGGAGCTTGTCCAAGGTCACAGACTGAGTAAGAACCTTTCCCAGGCCTCAACCCCAGGGCCAGTGTGCAAAGAAGCAGAGCCTGGTTGCAGAGCCAGACAGCTCCTAACATTTCAACAGAAGGCTGCTTGGCAGGCCAGTGTCCAAGGTGCACGAGGGCGTGAAGGTGAGTGGGGACCACAGCAGTGCACATGGACTATTTTGCCCAGCATCCTTCCTGCCTCTTCCGGCCACCTGCGCTCTAGTTTTCTTTAGAGAACCACCTGTCCCCGACTTTGCATCCAGGAGGTTTGGATGGGTTGACCCTCACCCCCAGCTTTGTTACCCTGGCCGGGCCTGTCAAAGTATCCTCTCCTCCCTGAAATGGTGATTGGTTCAGAAATGTGAGCAGATAGCCCAATGACACTCAGTCCTACACTTTAACTGGAAATATCAGGAAAGAGACTTGGGTCCTGGGGTTCCAGGCCATTGTGGCCACTTCCTGGGAATACTGCTTGAAAATGAAGACAGTAACTGATTCCTAATGAAATCCTTTACATTCCCAGATCCAGGCCGGCCCTGTTTGCAATGTAAATAGCATTGACATTGGGGCTAACATGGCTGGAGCTAGGTTTCCATCCGTGGGTTTGAGGAACAACATGTCGCGAGTAATTGTGTGGATGGCTGTGTTCCAGCTTGTGCTGCGTGACCACCCCAGATCTGCCCACTCACGCTCACTCCCATGACCCTTGCTCTTTCACCTCCAATCCCTGGACCCCTCTTTTCTCCAGCCCAGGCTTGACCCTCTCAGCCACTTGGTTCCCAACCCTTCAGCTCCCTCCTTGCTTTGACATCTTTCACACCTGACTTTTGAACCCACCAGCCCAGGTCACCTGCCTGTGCCTCTCCACTGCCTGCTGAAGGCTGTTGTGTGTGGAGGGAGGCAGTCAGTCACACAGGGGCCCAGTGGAGCCACACACTGTCATGGTCTCCAGCCTCAGCTGAGCGCTCAAGAGCCGCCCACATAACGATAAATGTTGTATTAGCTAGGATGGCCATTCAGCTGCATTAACAGGGAGCTTGGAAATAATAGTGAATTAAACAATATAGAAGCTATGCTTCCTCATATAAAGTCCAAGCAGGTGTTCCACCCGTCTGCTGGCTTTGTAATCATTAAGGACCTGTCCTCCTCTGCCGTGTCACTCTGCCGTTGCCCACGCACACCTTCTATAGCATGGTCCAAGGTGGCAGTTAGCGCCCCTCAAAAGCTGCATTCACACCAGCCAAAGGGAGAAGGGGGGCAGGGGGGCTGTGCCCCACCCATTTCATTTTGACCTCAAGTTGCACCATCCCTTCTACTCACATCCCAGTGGTCACACTTAATCAGATGGCTGCAGGTAGCTGCAAAAGAGGCTGTCAGATGAGGGCTTTAGCTAGATAGGTATATGTCCAGCTAAAAATGCTGTTCCTATGAAAAAAGGGGGAGAAGGTAGGTTGGAAACAACTCTTTAGTCTCTACCCTAAGCTTCCAGGCACTGCTGGGCTCTCCTTGTGTCCCAGCTCAGCGGCAGACATGACCTTGCTGCTAGCCAAGGTAACCCTACTGACTGGGTTCCAGACAGCCCCGTGGGCCCCCCATCACTCAGAGGCCTCACTCCACCCTCCTTTTCTCCTTTTTCTCTGTTTCCATCTGTTCTCCCTGATCACTCGCCACATAACCCTGTAGACAGACAACCCTGAAGAATCCACACAAAAAGATTGTTAGAGCTAATAAATTCTGCAGAGTTGCAGAGTACAAAAACCAACACACCAAAGAATATAAACGTAATCTTTCCCATCTTAAAACACACACTGACATTTTTTGCAGAAATAGAAAAACCCATGAAATGAAATTTCAAGGGACTCCAAATAGCCAATCTTGAAAAAGAAACACAAAGGTGTCAGTCTTCCACTTCCTGATTTCAAAACTTACCACAAATCTGCAGCAGTCAAACCAGTGTGGTACCAGCATTGGGACAGACACAGACCAACGGAGCAGAACAGAGAGCCCAGGAGTAGACCCTCATGCATCTGATCAATGGGCCAAGACCATTCAATGGGAAAAGAGCTGAACCTGTAATTAAGTCTTGGTTTGGTGCTTGGGGCTTAGCATAATTGACTCCACTTGGGGCCTGTTGTCTTTATTTTCAACAATTCCCCCCTTTTGATCAGATGCTCATCCTGAGAGATGTCATAAAAATTTGAGGTGTTGGCGCTACTCCCAGCTACCACTGTGGAGCCATCCCAGGGTTTGCTGAACCTCCGAGTGGTGTTCACAGGTCCCAAGGTATGGTTCACAGTCTTTATGTCGGTGATTCTCTTCGTTCCTTCTTCTATGGTCCAGTCTCAGGGAGATCATTTGCTAGGTGGTTAGCGGCTGCAAATGTGCATTTAAAGTTTTTGAGGGAATACTACTTAGCTCAGAGATTACCATGCTGGTTCCAAGCAGGATGATTCCCTGTGTCTGGAGTGCACTTCACATCCCCAGGACCCAAACCAATCAGAATCAAAGTCGGAGAAAGATCCCGTTGAAACAGTCACGTTTGTAAGCAAATCGGCTTAGTCTGTGGTCGGTGTTCCCGCGTTCTCACCAGCATTTGGAGCTACCCACCTTTCTGACTGTTGCCAACCTCACCGGAATGCGTGTTATTTCAGCCCCAGGCTGACTGCTGGGGACAGAAGGGACAGGGGTGATTTTGCTGGCACCTCAGACGTGGTACAAAGACACATGATTAAATAGCACTGATCCACGTGGCGAGACACGGCTGCTTTTTAATGCTAGTTCTGTGGATCTCGGGGCTGGAATGTGACTTTAACTCTCTTACTCATCTCTCTTTTCATTAAAGATTCTGAAAAGGAGGTTTTTGTGGTTCCTGGCTGTTTTTGGCAAATGACGATGTTTTTCTATTCTTATTTGGGTCAAACTTAAGTATTAAGTTATAGGTAGTACCTGGATAGTGCATCAGTCATGAAGATGGTTCACATCATGGGGGTTGAGGAAACCCAACGTAAAACAAGGATCAGCCAACAGGGAACAGATGGGCCTGCGCTCCTGGCAGCATGGACGCCTCTGACTCCCACCTGGATGACCTGGACTCAGATCCTGACCTTTCCTAAGCAAGTTACCTCTCTAGGTCCTCTCCCGCCTGCTGTAAAACAGCAATGGCAGCCCCTCCTAGGATTATTGGGAGAGTTCAGTGAGCTCTGTTAACCACGGCTCTAGCGCTGGGAGGGGTGCAGACAATGGCACCAGAGCCTTGGAGCATCAAGACGGGGCTCTGTCTCCCCTGGATGGCTGCCTTCTGCGTGTGTGTCCTGCCTCGGCGGTAATTTTGTGCTTTTCAAACTAAGACAGTACCTGGGGGCGCTCACGGGAACTGCTTGGGAGCCTGAGGCAGGAAGCTGGGCTGGGGAGGGGTCAGGTTAGCAAGGGCCAGCCTGCGCCTCCAACTGCACCCTCCGCTGCGAGGGAGCAGTGTATAGGCCTTAGCAGTCAGACTGTGGTCCAGGGACAGGGGGCAGGCCTG